AAGCACTCTACCACTTGAGCCATGCTCTTATTTATTTAACTATGTATCCATTTATTATTTTTATTTTATTTTATTTTCTGTGCTGGGGTTTAACCCAATCATTGTACATGCTAGACAAGCGCACTACCACTAAGCGACATTCCCACCTACGACCTGCCTGTAAAATGTGACTCTGCCACTTAACTGGTTATGACCTACTTTACAGGATTTCTGTGATGATTGGATAAAATGGTGTTTCTGAGATGTGTTGTGGTCATTATCTGTATCATCACAGCTCCCAACACTTAGTAAGCATTTATGAGATTATCATGCACTTTTTTTGGGAGGGGTGGGAATAGGTTTTGAACTCAGGGCTTCACACTTGCAAAGCAGCTGCTCTACCGGTTGAGCCACACCTCCAGTCCATTTTGCTCTGATTATTTTGGAGATGGGATCTCGAGAAGTATTTCCCTGGGCTGGCCTCAAACCTCTATCCTCCCGATCTCAGCCTCCCAAGTAGCTAGGATTATAGACATGAGCCATCAGCACCCAGCTGGTATCATGCACGTTGATGAATATGGTTCTACTCTTATCTGAACTCCTGGTGACAACCTTAGGAAACCAAGGTTAGAGAGGCCAAGTGCCTTGTCCTCAGTCATACAGTGAATGGGAAGCTGAGTGAGCATCCAAACCATGTTGTCTGACCCCAAGATCCACACTTTTTTTTTGCAGCACTGGGGTTTGAACTCAGCAGCTCGTGCTTGCTAGGCAGGCAGTCTACCACTTGAGCCACTCCACCAGCCCTTTATTATGTTGGGTATTTTGGAGATAGGGCCTCACAAATTATTTGCCCAGGGTTGGCCTCGAACCGAGATCCTCCTGATCTCTGCCTCCTAAGTAGCTAGATTGTAGGTGTGAGCCACCAGTGCCAGGCTAGGATCCACACTCTTTTTTTTTTTCTTCTTTCTTTCTTTTTTTTTTTTGTGGTGCTGGGGTTTGAACTCAGGGCCTACACCTTGAGTCACTCCAGCAGGTCCCTCCCCCCTTTTTTGTGTGTGAAGGTTTTTTTCAAAATAGGGTCTTGGCTAGGATTACAGGCATGAGCCACTGGCTGCCCTGCTAGAATCCACACTCAGCTGTTCCTGCCTTCCTCTTACACCTAATAAGCCCTCAATAAATGATGGCTCTGATTATAGCTGCTAATAGTGCCCCAGGGGGTATGGAATGAATGACCAGGAGAATGACCTCCCTCCCCCCTGCATAAAAGATGGTGAGTGGGTTTGTTATACTTGTTCATCGGTCCGCTCCTTGGGGGCCTCATTTTGCTCCCCTCTACTGCAGTCTTTCTGTGCCTGCTGGTGCTGCTGGGCCCCCGTGTGGCTGAGAGAGAGTACAGTTTGTTTACATTTGTGCTGCACTCTGCTGAAGTCTGAATTCATGCTGTTCACATAGCTTCACAAGTCTTTGCCACATTGATTCCCATGAAGTTCTTTTTCTTCCTCCTGCTCCTTTCAAGATCTGTGCTGGGTTGTACTTTGGTTTGGGATCTTCTTGTCTCCTGAGATGACGAATGCCTGGAGTAGGCTTTGGAGCCACCTGCTAGTGAACAGAACATCAGCTACTGAGAGCAGAGTCCACCGTTGTGTCTTTGCACTTGAGCTTAGTTCAGCCAAGTGCTATACCATTGGTTGGACCAAGAATAAGGATGTGTTATGCTGATAATCGCCACTGTTGTTTACTGAGCTCTTGCTGCTTATCAGCTCTGTGCTCAGCCTTGTGAATGCTTTCATCATCTCATCCCCTAAACCAGCAGCAGCCAGTTGGACTTTCTGCAATGATGGGAGTGCTGAGATCCTCCCTGTCTAGTGAGCAGCCACTGCGGCTGTTGGGCACGTGAGAAGTGGCTGGTACAACTAGAGCTGAACACTTCATTCACATTTAAATAGCCATGTATGATCAGAGGGTGTTGGACAGCACCGTCAAAAAATCCTTTTAGGCTGGCAGAGTGACTCATGTGGTAGAGTGCCTGCCTAGTAAGTGTGATGCCCTGAGTTCAAACCTCAGTACTGCCAAAAAAAAAAAATCCTTTTAAAGCATTTTACAGATGAAGAAAATGAGTGCTCGCTTCAGAAGCACATACACTAAAACTGGAACAATACAGAGAAGATTAGCATAGCTCCAGCTCAAGGATGACACACAAATTCGTGAAGCGTTCCATTAAAAAAAAAAAGAAAAATGAGTCAGACAGTTAAGTAATTTTCAAAAGCACGCATGCCTGTACTAGCAGAGCCATGCTTTGAGCCATGCTTCCTGCCTCCTGAGCCCGCCCACACCATACCCTACACTGTACTTTTTTTGCAGAAATTGTTTCATGATTGCATGTTGCTCTTTAACTCGTAGTGATGTTCTTGCATAAATTTACAGTCCATCTTGCAATGAACGTATGAGCTGGGCGCTGGTGGCTCATGTCTGTAATCCTAGCTACTTGGGAGGCTGAGATCAGGAGGATCGTGATTCAAGGCCAGCCCAGGCAAAAAGTTAGTGAAACTCCATCTCTACAGAAAATGCTGAATGTGGTGGTGCACACTTGTCATCCCATCTATGCTGGAAGTATAAATCAGAGGATCAAGGCCCACACTGGCCCAGGAATAAAAGTGAGACCCTTATCAGAAAATAAGTAAAGCGAAAAGGGCAGACATAGCTCAAGTGGTAGAACACCTGCATAGCAAGCTCAAGGCCCTGAGTTCAAACCCCAGCACCACTAAAAAAAAAGCAATGCATCATATTTTAGAATACAACATGACTCTAAAAAAGAATATGGTGATCTGTATGTAAAGATTAAATTATACATTTGATTCTTTTTTAATTTTTATTTTTTGGTGGTGTTGGAGTTTGAACTCAGGGCTTCATACTTTTAGGCAGGTGCTATGCCACTTGAGCTACTCCAAGCCCCACATTTGATATATTTTTAAGGCAAAGAAATTTCAGAACAATGAGTGTACCATGATCCTATTTTATCTTTTTGTTGTTGTTGTTTTTTAATTTATGTGTTTAAGAAAAGAGTTGGCAGGAGGCTGGTGGCTCATGATTGTAATCCTAGCTCCTCGGGAGACAGAGATCAGGAGGATCCAGGTTCAAAGCCAGCCTGGGCAAATATTTCACAAGACCCTATCTTTAAAAACTCATCACAAAAAAGGGCTGGTGGAGTGGTTCAAGGTGTAAGCCCTGAGTTCAAACCCTAGTACCAAAACAAAAAACAAAAAAAAAAAATTGGGAGGACACACACACCCCAAGCTATTGATAGGGAGACAGGAGAGCAGGAGGTCTCTGTACTTTACATGTACTTTCATGTTGCTTGCATTTTTACAATAAGCAAATGTTCTTTCAGAATTATTCTGTACAAGTTTTCTTGGCTTGAGAAGGACTTGAGTTCCTGCCATGGGTCTATCACTTAGCAAAACATCCTATCAAGGGACTTAGTTTCTTCTGCCTGAGCCACCTTCTCTGTTTATACATGCACTCACACATGTACATAGTTTCCTTTTTCTCAGTTGGTCTTTATAATTAAGAAAATGAATGAGTCCCTGTTTTGTTTTTTATTATGTATTGATTTTGTAGTGCTGGGAATCAAAGGCAGGGCTGAGTACTTGCTCTGTCAATGAGCTACGTTCCTAGCCCTGTTTTGCTGTTAAAATGAGGAAGCTGCACTTATCGTGGAGGGTCCTTCGAGCATCCAACATCTGTCTAAGACACTCTGATCTCAGATTTTGAAAAAAGAAAAACATTTAAAAGAACTTGATGTCAGTGTTGTACTTAACACTAAAGTTTGCAAGCGTGCCTTTTGGTTATGGCCAAGAGGCAGTTGTGTAGGTACCATGGCTCAGATGTGTCTTGCAGCCTAGAAGCCTTTCCTCCAGGTGCTCTGACTTGCCTGCCTGGGAGGCGGGCAGACCCACAGGACTGGGGTCTGTGCCTGGCCCGCAGGGCTGCTGGGCTTGCTCTGGGCACCGAGACGAGAGGCCATTTTTGTTGTGGGAGTTGACCGGTCAGCCCCTCTCCAAGCGTATGCTGACTGGTGTGGCTGATGTATCTTGGCTGCTGCGGCTGTCTACCACTGCTTCCAGAAAACACTTAAGAACACAGTTGCCCCAGGTGCTTAACTTGAGACCAGTATTCAGGGATCTGTGCTCTTGTTTTGTGTGTTCTCCCTCTTGGCCATTTGGAAAGGCAATAGCCAGCCAGGATATGCTAATGTGAATATGACTAGACTTTTCTCCCAGGGTTTTGCTTACAAGGGGCCCTCCTCTGTCGCTGCAGTTGTAGAGAACTCAGTCTGAGTTCCACGAATCTGGGCTTTCTCACTCTAACTAGGCTGATAAATCGCCCTTGCTTTTATCTCATCCCTGGTCCACCCACCCCTAGGACTTGCAGTACTACACTTTAGCTCACTGCGCTCCGAGTCTTCAGCCTGGAATGGTGTCCTTCTTAGTGTAGGGTTTGACATGAGCCTGGCACATACCCACATCCATGCCCAGCCTTGCCAGGCTCCTCAGGCAAATCCAGTGACATGTCAGTCTCTGGTGACCCGGCCCATTGGCTGTGAGTGTGTGCAGAGGGCAACTCCAAGCAGCAGGCCTGCTGTGATGCACAGGTGTGTGTGTGTGGGTGTGTGTGTGTGTTTGTGGTTGTGTGTGAGAGAGAGAGAGAGAGTTGTATGTAGGCATCACTGTGTGTGTACGGTGGGGCCCCTGGAGTAGTTCACCATGTGATCCTGGCCTGAAGCTTAGCACCACCTGATACCTGTGTGTGGGCTGTGGCTCCCTTGCCAGTATCAAGCAGTCACCATGCAAAGCAATTCCTGCAGGCTTTGAGGACAAGGCTGTGAGGAGACAGCCTTTCTGCTGTGGATCTGAACTAGGCTCTGTGGGTCATCTTGGGCACATCACTGGCACATGGCTCTCCTTCTTGATTCCAGACATCTGTTTTCATTCTCTTTATCCACTTTTTATTTTTCCTTTCAGCTACAGAGCTACTTTGCTGCGTGTGAGGATGAGACCCCCGCTATCCGGAACCATGACAAGGTCTTACAGCGCCTGTGTGAGCACCTGGATCACGCGCTGTTGTACGGGTAAGTTTAGGCATTCCAAGGGCTAGGCATGGGGCTGGCAGAGTGGCTCAAGTGGTAGAGCGCCTGCCTAGCAAGTGTGAGGCCCTGAGTGCAAACCCCAGTGCTACAAAATAAAGAAAAAGCCAAGAGTTAGGCCTAGCGGGGTGCTGCCGCAGCCATGACACCCTCTAGAAAGAACTCTCTGGCCTTGTCTGCCACGTTTCCTCTTTCCCCATGCCAGAGTTTTGTCTCTCAGGTGGGCTGCAGACAACTGACGAGCTAATCCAGTAAAGAGGCTGTGCAGGCACAAAGGATTGGGAAGGATGGTGTGAGGGGTGCAAGTTGCCTGTGGGACCCACTGACTGCAGCCCCACCTAGGCTCCAGCACTGCTGTACTGTCCTCCCAGATTGCAGGACCTCTCGTCGGGCTACTGGGTGCTCGTTGTGCACTTCACTCGCAGAGAGGCCGTCAAGCAGGTCGAGGTGCTGCAGCATGTGGTCACCAACCTGGGACGCAGTGAGTGGAACGAGGGAGACGTGGGGTAGCAGTCGGCTGTGCCCTCCCTGTGGATAGCTGGGGATTCGGGTTCAGCCCAGATCAGCCCTGCGAGGCTAACTGCCTTATAGTATCCAGCAGCAATGGGGGTTAAAATGCCAGTGCCTTCCACAAGACCTCATTTTTCCCTGCATTTGACAGTTTGTGGGTGCATCAGTGATGGGGTGAAGGGACCATTCACACAGAAAAAAAACTGGACTCCTCTGGGATCCCGGTTGAACATACAAGGAAGAGTTTGTGTTTGACCTCAGCTAGGATCTGGGTTAGCCTGCAGGATTGGAGCAGCATCCTTGCATACCTTGATCCATTTAAAGTATGCCACTCCAAAAAAGAGAAAAAAGAAAAGAAATAAAGTATGCCACCTGGGCCAGGCATGGTGTCCACGCCTGTAATCCCAGATATGGAGAGGTAGAGATAGGAGGATCAAGGTTCATATGGCCAGCTCAGGTATAAAAGTTAGTGAGAGCCTATCTGAAAGACAAACTAGCAGGAGGCGTGGCTCAAGTGATAGAGCACTTGCCTAGCAAGTGCAAGCCCTGAGTTCAAATCCAGTACCGCCCCAAATTTTCTTTTAAATAACGGAGGTATGGTTCAAGTAGTAGAGGGCCCGCTTTGCAAGCACAAAGCCCTTGAGTTCAAATCCCAGTCCCACCAAAAAACCAATAAAGTGTGCAATCTGCCCTCTCCCTCAGGTTTTCCTGGCTGGCCATGTGCTAGGCCTGAAGGTGTTTGGGTACTGGTCCTTTACCTGCTCGTTCTTTCCTTTCTGTCCTTGCTTGGCATAGGGAAAAAAAGTCATGCCTGGCAGACCTTTCTCCAAGTTATTCCTGTCTTCATTTGCAGGCCGGGCCTGGCTGTACCTGGCCCTCAACGAGAACTCCTTGGAGAGCTACCTGCGACTGTTTCAAGAGAACCTGGGTCTGCTGCAGAAGTACTATGTTAGGTCAGTGTATGAGGCCTCACCTGGCCTCCAGTTTTCTGTCACATGCAGACATCACAGCATATAACATCAGAAGCCTGCTGACATCACATGCTGAGGACACAGCAGTAATGGCTCTTGGAGCCTTGCTAGCTGTGTGGTGACTTCCTTCAGGAGCACTGGGGCCCCACCCAGGCTCCTGTGCTCTGTCTCTGTCTGAACCTCTACCCAGGCCTCAGACTGACTGAATGCCCAACCTTTGCCTCACCCTGTGCTGGGGTTGCTGCAGGGACAGAGTATTTATAGCAGCTGTTGAGAGCCTCACAAGCCTTATGCCACAGTCTGTCTCTGGAGACCCTGCAGGCAAGTGCCTGAACACTGGATAGAACGGAGTGAGGGACAGCTGAATCAAGCTGGGTGCTGCCGGGGTGGGGGGGGGATGCTGTCATGTGTCCTAATTTCAACACTGTTCACTTGCTGGTGAGGTTGGGCCCAGCTGGTAACCACGCCCAGAAGCACCAGTGTTGCTTCTTGTGTCTCACAGGAATGCCCTGGTTTGCAGCCACGATCATCTGACTCTCTTCCTGACCTTGGTGTCTGGGCTGGAATTCATTCGATTTGACCTGGACCTGGTGAGAGCCAGTGGCTGTCTCTTGTCTTACTGCTGGAGGGAGGCAGAAGAGGGGTAGGGGGCAGGCTCGTTGGGTATGGCTGAGTTTGGCAACGCCTGTAAGGCTTCAGGATCAGTGGGATTGAGCCGGGGTTGGAGGACACTCTCTTAGCTTACTCATGGCAAGAATTCCCAGTTCAGCTATCTTCTTTCTGTCTCTCTACCCACCTGGGGGAAAGTCACATTGCTTTGACTATCTTAGCCCAGAAGGGCTTGCCTTCATGTTTAAGACGAGAGTGTCGGAAAGGGACAAGGCAATTCATCCCTGTGTTTTCTGCGATTCTGGCAATTGTCATCGGCCCCATGCTTTCCCACTGATGTGCTCTTGGCCACCCTCTGCAAATTCTCGAGCTTGCCTCACTACCATGCACCGTGCAGCAGCCCCATTTTCACAGAACATATGTTCCAGGCCTCCAGTAGATGCACAAAACCTCAGATAATAGCAAGCCCTACATATACTGTTTCTTCCTATACATCCTTACCTGTGAGAGTGTTTACTGTTTATTTATTTATTTATGCAGTGTTGGGGCTTGAACTCAGGGCCTTCACCTTAAGCCATTCCACCAGCACTGTTTTTTTTTTTTTTTTGTTTTGTTTTTGTGAAGGATTTTTCAAGATAGGGTCTCTTGAACCATTTGCCCAGGCTGGCTTTGGATGCCAGATCTCTGCCTCCTGAGTAGCTAGGATTACAGGTGTGAGCCACTGGTGCCCAGTGAGAAAGTTTACTTTATAAAGTAGGCATAGTAAGAGATTACAACAAGAATTAATAGTAAAATATGACAATTACAGCCAGGTGCCAGTAACTCAGCCTGGAATCCTAGCTACTTAGAAGGCTAAGATCAGGAGGATTGTGGTTCAAGTCCAGCCCAGGCAAATAGTGCACAAGATTCCATCTCAAAAATAACCAGAGTAGGGCTGGAGGAATGGCTCAAGCAAGCATGAGGCCAGACCCGCAAAAAATAAAATAAAATAAAATGGACAAAGGTATGGCTCAAGCACTAAAGCGCCTGCTTTATAAGCACAAACTTTCAAACCCCAGTACTGACAAAAGAAAAGAGAAAAAAACAACAAGAATTGTTTATTTCTGGAAAGTTTCCCTTTCCTACTTGACCTCAGGTAACTAAAACCACAGAAAGCAAAACCTCGGACGGGGAGACGACTGTACAAATATGATGCTGGCCCAAAAGAGGCTCAGAGCACCACTTATTCTTGGCCTGTCTTAATCCAGTCCCTTCCCTGCTTCCTGCCCCAACTTCACAGGCCGAGAAAAAAACTTAGCAGTGGCAGAAATTGGAGAAAATGAGCAGTTATAGTAAGAGATGTAGAGGGCATGGGAAGACATGGTCAAGTTATGACAGCTTTCCTTTTGTGTGTGTGTGTGTGTGTGTGTGTGTGTGTGTGGCCGAGGATGGAGCCCAGGGCCTGGAGCAGAGTAGGCAAGCATTCTACCACTGACAGTTCTTTCATCTGTGAAGCCCAAAGTCCAGAGTTTATGCCACAACCATTCATCTTACTCCTTAGCACTTTTCTCTGAATTATTCCCTTAACCCCTAAGATTTCCCAAAGACAAAAGTGCTGGGAGGGTAGGACAGATGCACATCTCCCAATTCTGGGTTCTGGTGTCCGTGTAGGCTGTGGCTCACCTGAGGCCCTACCCATTGTTCCTGTCTCTCTCTCCCAGGATGCCCCTTACTTAGACCTGGCTCCCTACATGCCTGACTACTATAAACCTCAGTATCTGCTGGACTTTGAAGACCGCCTTCCCAGCTCAGTCCACGGCTCAGATAGCCTATCCCTCAACTCCTTCAACTCCGTCACCTCTACCAACCTGGAATGGGATGACAGTGCAATTGCCCCATCTAGTGAGGGTAAGTGCCGAGGGCAGAAAGGAGCCAAGCCTCTGCCGTGAAGTGGACTCTAGAGCTGCTGAAGCCTGGGTGGGTGACATGTCTGTTGGCTAGTTTTGGTTGGTGGTTGAGATTTGCAGTTGAGCAGAGCCACCTATTTCTCACATCTTCACTTCCTCACAGTCCCTATGGTAGCTAAAAAAATGGTTTCCAAGCACAAAAGGCCAAAGCAAAATTCTATGAATTTAGACACTTTTCCAGAAAGCTCTAGTCACATGCCCAGGGACAGTCTTCTTTTTTTTAAGGTACTGGGGTTTGAACTCAGGGCCTTCACCTTGAGCCACTCCACCAGCCCTATTTTTGTGAAGGGTTTTTTCGAGATAGGGTCTCTCAAACTATTTGCCTGGGCTGGCTTCGAACTGTGATCCTCCTGATCTCTGCCTCCTGAGTAGCTAGAATTACAGGTGTGAGCCAACTGTACCTGGCCCCAGGGACAGTTTTCTGTGTGAGGAGGGTTAGCAGCAATGTTCCTTGGAAACTCTTGCCTTACCTTGAGGGGTGAATGTTACCTGTTTCAAGGAGTACGTCCAACCCAAAATTCTAGGTGGAGAGAGACTGAGCAAGCTCTAGAAGGAGAGAGAGGAAGGCGGGTCCCATGTGGAGGAACCCCTGTGCAGCTCCTCTGAGTCCCTCTACCCTTGCTGGCGTGTTACCGGGTTATACCCGTTGCCTCAAAGACTGAGGAAGAATCGGTCATGTTGTTGTCTCAACCCAACTTATTAGAGCAGCCTGGTTTTTCTCAAACCTTAGGCCTTAGTGCTCATAAAAGTGGCCATTACCATGCTTCAGGTCCTGTGAGCCACCAGTCTCATTCATTTTACCCTGCCTCACCTCCAGCAAAAGGGATCCAAGCACACGTTCAGCCCCCAGGCTCCCTGGAACTGCCTCAGCTTTGAGACCCTCACCTTCCTATTCCTTTATTTCCAGTTATGCTGTGGGTCACAGGTCCCAGAGCGAAGGGTCACTTTTAGGCTTGCTGTCAGCAAGACTTGCACTGCTCGTTGTATAAACAAAGCCTGTCAGTCTCCTGAGTTGGCCTCATGGGCTGCCTTAGAGCAGAAGGCAGAGGGAGCATCCTTAAGAAGCAGCCAGACCATCCACGGTTGGAGGTGTCCCCTTGAACCCACCTCATCTCAGCCATTTAGAGATTGATTAGCTGTGGAGCCATAGAGCAGGACCTCATTGCCCTGTGGAGCACAAAGGGAAGGCAGGCGAGTGGCAGAAAGTGATGTCAGGGACGAGGGAACCCAAGTTTTTCTCTGCCAGACCAGTTTCTGGGTTTGAATAAAGGACCTCCAGAGGTTTTGCCGCTGGTTCAGGCTCCTGGGCCACTGCCTAGTTAAGCAGCTGGGCTCCTGGTCAGTTCCCCTGAGGTTGTTAGAGGACATGTAGAAAGTTCGTTCTCCCTCTCTTGTTTTCTCCCCATGTCTCCCACCCATTGCCCCTGCCCTCCTTCCACTGCCTGTGTTTCTAATCTTCAGTTTTGTCCCTCGTTTTTGTAGATTATGATTTTGGAGATGTGTTTCCAGCAGTGCCGTCTGTACCCAGCACAGACTGGGAAGGTGGGACAGAGTCCGCTGTGACCCTCTTTTCCTGTTTTGCAACGTTTCCATGCCAAGCTTGCTGCATGTTTCAAAATCAGCTCCTTATTATTGCTTATAATGTCCAGGATCATAATCAAGCCAAATCTGGTGTTCTAACAGGTGGAATTCTGCAGCAGGAGAACTTGACCATTAGTCCTAGGCAATCCCTTCTCCCAGTTCAGTGCTCCTGCCTTTGTACAGGGTCCTTGGGAGTCACTAGGTGACTGTTTCTGGGGACACCAGATCACCCTGCCTAATTATGATGCCTGTTACACACTCAGAGGTGCACAGGGAACTGCTCATCTGTGAGGCACTAGTGACCCAGTGAGTGAGACTTGTTCTGAAAAGTGATGCCTAGAAACGTGTGTGTTGTAAGCTCCTTTGGGCCAGGTGAGCATCCAGGAGAAGTCAGGGGCTTGGTGTTTTCAGGCCATTCCTAATGGCTTCCTCTTGGGTATTTTTGAAAGAAATTAAGGTCTAAGTGAGAGAACTGCCCAGGCATAGCTGAAACTTCCTACAGGGAGATTCTCTGTGAAGTTTTAAGGCAGATTAAGATAAAATCTGGTGCCTGCCTGTCCTGTCCACTGGGCAGCGGTGGTGTTTGGGCACTTTTCTGCTCATAACCCACTGCTGGACCTGTATAAACTCATGAAGCAACAACCCAGGTTGCTGTGCCCACTCAAAGCAGAGGCTGAGTTTTTGGTAAGGTAAATGCTTCCTCCTTAAATCTAGGCTTGTCCCAGACCTCCCTTAAAGAGCTTCTTCCCTGGGCCCTCTTCCAACCTGAAGGGGGTGTCTTGCTTCAGAGACTGAGGGGCAGGTGGCTCCCCACATGATTGGAGACATGCTCTCTGGGCAGTAATGTGAGTATGAGACAGCTTTTCTTTGAGGGAAAGATGATATAGCATTGGGAGAAATAAATTGTGTCACTTGTTGAAGAGAGTAGTAATAAAGAGTCTCCCTGTTTTAGCTCAATTAGCTTGAAACCCAGAATTCCATCCTAACATCATTTACTCTCTCAGCCTCTCCTGCAGCAGACATGCGGGCATTGGCTTTTTCCCTCTGATTCTAACAACTAACCCCCTTCTTGACGGGCCTATTGCAGCCACTCGACAAGCAGGGCCTGACCTTCCTCTGTAGCTCTTGAGAGCTCTCTGTGGACTGAGAACTAACATCACAGTTGCAATGCTTGCTCAGGCTGGGCTGGGCCCCAGGACTGGGTGAGAGTCAATTCAGTCATGACCTCCTGCTTTCCTGCATTCCTTGGGCACTGAGGAATTCCTTGGCATGCTGTGCCAGCTCAGCCAGGAAGACTCTGTCTTCTTCTGGGCCTAAAGAAAAGCAGGACTTGGGGACAACCTCCAAGGCTGGGGCCCTGGGGCAGGGCTTGTCATGGCTGTTCCATGGTCTTTGGCTTCTTTGAGAATTGGTGGGCATCCCAACCTTGGCCCACCACATCTGGGGTCTGCCCACTTACCTCTGAGGACCACCCTCCATGATCAGCTAACACATACTGAGGGGAAAGCATAGGGGCTGAAAGAGAACCCGACTGTCTGAGAACTAGGCCCTGGTCCCGGGAAATCTGAAGTCTCATAGGTCACTAATGTTTTCCTGACAGAGCTGCAATTACTTTTAGCCCCTCCCCTGTCCTTATATCAAAAGACAAAGTACTTTTTAAAAAAAATAGGTGAAGTGCTGTGTCAGCAGGCAGTTGCCAGTGGTTTCCAGATCCCCTAAGATGTTGAAGCAGGTTGGGCCCTTCCTGGGGGGCTTTGGGGAACATGTGTCCCCACCTCACTTCTGGACAGATGCACATATGCCAGCAAGTGGAACAAATGGAGCATGAACGGTCTGTCCCCTTGCCATTAACCACACCCAGGCTGCTCCACTAGCCGGGCCTGGGAATCAGTTCTCTGCTTGGGTAGTTCCCATCTGCCACTGGATAAATGGCCCGTGTGCTTGTCATGTTGGTGCTCCCTGCCTGAAGTGTTCAGTGATTTGAGATGAACAGAGGGGGTTGGGGAAGGCCAGTTAGACCAGCTCCTCTTTGGAGGGGTAGCATCATCTCCTTCACCTGTCCAGAGAGGACCCATCAGCAAGCTGAGGTTTGAATGCAATTGAGTTCTCAGCACCACCCTTAAAGGGGCACCTGGTTCTGCCCCCCAGGAGTGCTGGTGTGTGCTGGGGAAAGAAGCCAACATCCTGCAAAGGGCCTGCAGGCACCTGTGGGGACAACCTCTTACTCACCTTCCTCTTGTGCCCCTGTTCTGTCATTTTCTCTATTCTGTGCTGAGTCCTTCTACTGGCGCTTTTCCAAGGCCTTCCCTCTTTGGTTCCCTCTCCTATCTGCTCAGCCTCTGCCCCTCAATTTCTCTGGTCTTTTCTCTGTTTTTACTTCTTTTGTTCCCTGTTGTCTGCAAGGGGCCCTTCAAAGGACTTGGGTATTGCTCAGTTCTGGGAGTGGGAAGTGGGACTGAGGGGCTGCTAGGTACCCCCATCCTCTGACAGGAGGTGTGTGGCCTGTCTCTTCCTTGGGACTCCCAGACACCCTTGGGGGCAACAAGGCCACCTTTCCTAAGGGCTTGAGCCTGGAGGCTGCTTCACCTAGGACCTCTTACTGCAAACTTGGCCATATTGCTGTGAACTTCAGGGGGCTCCCAGCAGTGATGAAGATGGTGCCCAACCAAGTTTATCCTAAAGAAAAATCCATGTCTTGTTCAGTAAAGGCTTCTGCTCTTGAAACGGGGCCCCCGGTCAGGCTTCCCTGGGAGGATCCCACCCACTTCCCCTGAGATAAGGCATACTCTGGGGCCCAGCTGGCATCTGACAGGCTGTTGACATCCTGTCTCCTTGTCCTCCCAGATGGAGACCTCACAGACACTGTCAGTGGTCCCCGCTCCACTGCCTCGGACTTGACCAGCAGCAAGGCATCCACTAAGAGCCCCACCCAGCGCCATAACCCCTTCAACGAGGAACAGGCAGAGACTGTGTCCTCATCTGATACCACCCCTGTGCACACCACCTCTCAGGAGAAGGCAGAGGCCCAGGCCTTGGAACTGCCAGATGCATGCACAGAGCTCGAGGTCATCAGGTCAGCAGGGAGGGTCCTGGGAAGAGATGGGCAAGCATCCTGGTGTCCACATGTCCAATCCTGGCCTCACTATTTAGTCCAAGGCAGACTGGGACCACTCCTGAGGCAGGAGAGACTCAGAAAGTCTGGCTTCCTTGGGCTCCACCAAGTACAGACATGTTTTCTGAAGCCACAGGCCTTTATCTTACAGTGCTAGAGGCTGGGAGTCTAAGATTAGGGTGCCAGCATGGTCGGTTCTACTGAGGGCCTCCTGGGTTTATAGATGTCCATCTTCTCACTGTGTCTTCACATGGAAGAACAGAGAAAGAGCTCTCTGGGCTTGCTTTTATGAGGGCTCTAATCCCGTTCAAGAGAGCACCACCCCCTATTCCATCAGCAGGGTTAGAGTTTCAGTGTGGGAATTGGGAGGGATGTGCACAGTCTATAGCAAGGCCCAAGCCCTGGAGGCAGGTGGATAGGCAGTAGCCACATCTGGCTTCTGGGCCTTGCCAAGGCTGCTGGGACATTTTATCTGGTCCATCCAGGACCAGAAGACACCTTCAGCCTGGACTTTCTCCCAAGAGAGTTCTTGGAAATCAATGTATAACTTCTGAGATTTGTACCAGTTCTATTCAGTCTGGCTCTTGGGAAGAAAAGTGTGTTTGTTATGTTCATAGGAGGGAGGAGGTGAACTACAAATTGGAACTTTTGAGCAGAGCCTCCTCAGCTCTCTGATCTTCCCAGCACCCTGCTCTTGGAGCTCTCCATACCCAGTGAGAAGTCCCAGATGCCTGTCACACCTGTAGGGGCCTTGTTTCCCCAGGAACTGGGGCCAGGACCCTTCCCGTTGCTCCCCAAGCTGGTTACAGAGCAAAGCAGCTCTAAATGCAGACTTAGGCTTAGCCAGGCCCACTCAGCCAAGGAGTCGGACCAGGACTTTGAACCTAGAACCCTCGAGTGCATTTCTGGGTTGTTTATCCAGATGATACCCATGGGAAGCGAGGTCACATCCTAAGGAGAGGGCTGAGTAGAGGAGCCTTTGGTCTAATGATGACCTGCTAATGTTTCCTAGAGAGACACAGCTAGCTCAGTGTTCGTTTTTGAGACAGTTTCTCACTCTGTAGGCTGGCCTCTTTGTGATTCTCCTGCTTTAGCCTCCCCAGTGCTGGGATTATAGGTGTGTAGCACCACGCCCAGCTGTTAACATAGTTTTATCAGCTGGAATTCACAGGACTTGCTCAGGGGTTCCTCTGGCTACTGCTGCCTGTGCCTCCCTTGTACTGTCCCTAATACCTCCTACACACACACACATATCCTTCTGCCAGCACCAAGGGTACCTCAGGGCCTTATGCTGCCTGGGACCATGGAGGCTCTGGTTGTGCCTTCAGAGATCATGTACCCAAGACTACCTCTCTGAGCCAGCCTAATTTCCCTCAGTACTTGGGGGCTCAGGTATTAAATTCCTCCCTATCACCACCATCACAGGGTCACCAAGAAGAAGAAAATTGGGAAGAAGAAGAAGACCAGATCAGATGAGGAAGCAAGTCCATTTCACCCAGCCTCCAGCCAGCAGAAATGTGCCAGGCAGGGGGATAGTGACAGCCTAGTCAGCAGCCCAGGCCTTGGGCAAGACTCGCCAGACACCACCCTTGCCTCCCCTCAGGAGGAAGGAGAAGGGCCCAGCAGCACAGCTGAGAGCAGCGAGCCCTCGGAGTTTGGGCACGTGGGCTTGCTGATCCCTGAGATGAAGGACACTTCCATGGAGTGCCTGGGACAGCCCCTGAGCAAGGTCATTGATCAGCTTAACGGGCAGCTGGACCCCACCACCTGGTGTTCTCATGTGGAGCCCCCAGACCAGTCCTTTCGGACGGGCTCTCCCGGGGATGCCCCGGAGAAGCCGCCATTTTGCGACTTTAGTGAGAGGCTTCCAGCCCCCATGGACTTCTACCGCTTTACCGTCGAGAGTCCAAGCACTGTTACATCAGGTGGCAGCAACCATGACACTGCAGGGCTTGGCCAACCGCTGCATGTTTCTGGTAGCCCTGCGGCTGCTGGCCAAGAAGAAGAGGGAGGAGGAGCAGAGGGACAAACACCTCGGCCTCTAGTAGACATGCCAGGGGAGGCTCAGGAGCCAGAGCCCCCAGAACTGGATACCCAGTTGCCTCTGGTCACTGAGGGGCTTGTGCCCCAGCCTGAGCCTGGGACTCAGGATGCTCTTTGCCAGCTCAAGCGAGACCAGCCCAGCCCGTGTCTGAGCAGCGCTGAGGATTCTGGGGTGGATGAGGGCCAGGGAAGCCCCTCAGAGATGATGCACCCCTCAGAGTTCAGGTGAGCACTACCTACAGCTGGCATAGATCTCTCAGTCCTTGAAGCAGGGGTCAGGGGCCTCTGACCTCCCAGCAAATAAAGCACAACTCCCGGAAGACCTAGCCTGGGGTGGGAGGTGAAAAGGGATGCGATCTCCCCTGCCTGGCCTCAGCTTCCCCATGCTTGTCCCTCTCACAGAGTAGACAACAATCACTTACTTCTGCTGATGATCCATGTGTTTCGAGAAAACGAAGAGCAGCTGTTCAAAGTAAGTCCCAGGAACTCAGGAACTAGCAAGGACATAGCCGGGGCCAGGCAGGGTGGGCCTCCAACCCTGCTCAGTGGGGAGTGTGCCAGAGGACAGATGGGAGCCCTGCACCTGACTTTTGCTTGTTTTGCCACTCAGATGATCCGGATGAGTACCGGGCACATGGAGGGCAACCTTCAGCTGCTGTATGTGCTGCTCACAGATTGCTATGTCTACCTGCTCCGGAAAGGTGCCTGCCACCCCAGGCCAAGAGCGGGTTGAGGTTGAAAACCCTTCCCCCTCCCCCCCACCCCTACTAACCCCCTTACTTACTATGTAGAATGTGGTATTGAAAAGGTACCTGAGGAAGTATTGCTAGCTGAGCCTGGGGGCCTGCCTTCAGTGAACACGCCCTGTCACTCTGCTACCCTGTCATTTCAAATTGCAGAGCAAGGAGGGGTCGTCTCTGTGAGAGAGCCAGGTCTTAGAAAATGGGGCCAGGGGAGGGAAGAGACCAGCGGGGGGTAATAGGCATTGGGGTCTCCTCTCTCAGGGGCCACAGAGAAGCCATACCTGGTGGAAGAGGCCGTTTCTTACAATGAACTTGACTATGTGTCGGTGAGTGCAGGCTCCACAGTTGGTGTACCTACCTATGGTACAGGACTTCCCGGGCCACCTACCCTTAGAGCTACAGAGCAAGGCTCATCCCGGGGTTGGGCCCCAGCATGACTCAGAGAGGCTTCTATACATATGCTGGGGACAAGAGCCAAGTGTGAGGTCACCTCTTCCTGCACCCCTAACTCATGCTGGGCAGCAAGCCTAAGGCCTCACTGGTGATGACTCCAGGGTGTGCTTCCTCCCTCCCTAGTCCTGGCCAGCACTTAGTCTGGCCAGCACTACCTCTTCTGCCAGGCAGCGGCCAAGCCCTTTGTGGTTTCTGGCAGGTCGGTCTCGACCAACAGACGGTGAAGCTGGTGTGCACCAACCGCAGGAAGCAGTTTCTGCTGGACACAGCTGACATGGCCCTGGCTGAGTGAGTGTTGGCCCCACCCCTTAGCAGGACAGAAGAACCAGCATCAGCCTTTGGCATGGTCCTGGCTGGGATGGAGGGTGGAAAGTGGGAGACACAGTAGAAAACAAAATTTGCAGTCTAGTCAGAGAGGCAGGAAAGTGGACAGTCATTGACTGACCAACCTGTGTGTCTGCCCAGCTGACCTCAGCCTTCTCATGAACACAGGGGAAGGGGCTGGTATGAGTTATCTGACAGGAAGGAGGGTACAGAGCCATGCGTGCCCTCAAATACCTACATGTGAAAGGTGGTGAGATCATAGCATCGTGCTGCCTACAGGGCCATCAAATCCTGCTGAACAGCACCTTGTCCTGTCTTCCTTCATTGTGAAGGCCGCTTTGACCATTCTGGTCACCATTCAGTGACCATGGACTCCTGCCACATCATTGCCCCGCCACTGTCCTGATACTGCTTCCAGCTAGGCCCTTCCCCCAAGTTTCTCTGACCCCTCCAGGCCAGGAGCTCTTAGGAGAAAGCCCTATCCATTTGAGGGACCAGCCCTAGGCCTCTGACTGCTAACCCCTCTTCCTTGCACAGGTTCTTCTTGGCCTCTCTGAAATCAGCCATGATCAAAGGCTGTCGGGAACCACCATACCCCAGCATCCTGACAGATGCCACTATGGAGAAACTGGCGCTAGCCAAATTTGTGGCCCAGGAATCCAAGTGTGAGGTCGGCAGCTGGGGAGGAAACTGGGGTGCAGTCTGCAAAGACCATGGTTGTCCAGCCTTGGTTTGGGGCTAAGTGATGCAAATGGTGTCTTTAGCTTATCTAGCAACAGCCTGGAAGGGATTGTCCTCCCCTGGGCCCTGCCTACCTGCCTACTTGGGTGTGTCCGATGGTTAAACACAAGGCTGTCGAGTGACTGCTCCTGCTGCAGAGGAGCTGAGTCCTGGACCAGCACAAGCCTGGCCGAGGCTTCACCTGCTTTTATCTGCTGTTCTTGCCCGCAGGCATCCACTGTGACCGTGCATTTCTATGGGCTTGTGCACTGGGAGGACCCCATGGATGAATGCCTGGGTCCCATGCCTTGCCACTGCTCACCCCTTGAAGGTGCCGTCACCAAAGAAGGCATGATGCACTACAAGGCAGGCACCTCCTACCTGGGCAAGGAGCACTGGAAGACTTGTTTTGTGGTGCTCAGGTGGGAACCCTGGTGGACAGCCCAAGGTTTTGATGCTCCAGTCCCCAGCAGGGATCTCTGGGGCAGGTCGCAGGAGGGGATGAGGGAGATGCCTCCCTTCACGGGGATTTGGGGTGGATACCTAGTATGGTGGAGTGTCTCTGTAAGGCCAGTCATCTCTGGGCCCAGGCATCCATGGTGCCTCAGTGCCACTGATGGCCCATCAGCTGTCCCAGGTTTGTTGAGGGGCAGCATTCTCTGCCCCTCACCCTCTCTTCCATACAAAGTGGGCTCCTGGCTTCCTTTGCCTCTGGGGTTCCCAGCCACAGTTTGTGGGGGATCCCTGGGGTCTGGCCCCCAGTTCCTTGGCTAGACCTCACCTGTGGTATTGTGCCCCCACAGCAATGGGATCCTCTACCAGTACCCAGACCGCACTGATGTCATCCCCCTGCTCTCAGTGAACATGGGGTGAGTGTCCCAGGAGATGGGGTGCTGAACATGAGTCCTGCTGGAGTTCAGGGCTTGACCTGAGCCTGAGGCATAGAGCTCCTACTTTCATATTTGGGATGGTTCTCCCCTGCCAGTTCAAACTCTGTCTCTTGCCCCACACCCCCTCGAGAAGACCCGACTAATGCCCAGGGGTTTGCCAAGCTCTGAAGCTATGAGGAGTCACGGAGGGAGGATGGAGGGTGGGCAGTCCCCTCTATGGAAGCTCCTGTCCTGTGGGAGACAGGCCCCTGGAGGAAGTGTGGTAAGTTCTGAGCAGGTGGGGCTGAGCTAATTTGCACCCTTGGCTATGTGAGTATCTACAAGGAGCTTGATGGTTCTGGAGATAAAAGGTGTTACCCAGAAAGGGTGGGGCTGACAAGCATCTGTGAGCCTAATGAGAACCAGAGGCAAGCCCTGAGTTTGCAGGCCTCTACCCAACCCCAGGGGCTCCCACTCCAGCCACTCTTGCCTACTCGATCCCGTTTCACCCTCCTCCTCTGGCCCAGGGGGGAGCAGTGCGGTGGCTGCCGGAGATCCAACACCACGGATCGGCCCCACGCCTTCCAGGTCATTCTTGCTGACCGGCCCTGCCTGGAGCTGAGCGCTGACAGTGAGGCTGAGATGGCCGACTGGATGCAACACCTCTGCCAGGCCGTGTCAAAAGGGGTGAGCACTTCTGCCTCCACTGTTCACCTAGCCTGCCACCTACCCAGGACCCCAGTGTCCCCACCAAAACTCACACCAGTCATGGAGCAGACTGGGAGGACCAGGATGGGGACCTCCAAGGACAGGCTCTGGAGTGCAGGGTGACCTGTGGCTTGGACCACTCCTACCTACACCTATGGGCAGAGCCTGCCAGAGCCCTGGAGGGAGGGTAAGTGCTGCTGCAGACCACCCTACGGAACATAGCCTGCCTGTCTCGCCCCGACCAATGCCCAGGTCATTCCCCAGGGACTTGCTCCCAGTCCCTGTGTCCCCTGCTGCCTGGTGATCACCGAGGACCGCCTCTTCACATGTCACGAGGATTGCCAGACCAGCTTCTTCCGCTCGCTGGGCACAGCCAGACTGGCCGATGTCAGTGCCGTCTGTACGGAGCCGGGCAAGGAATACTGCGTCCTGGTGAGCTGGTAGGGTGAGGACACAGACCCTGCAACAGGAGGACCACATCTTCCTGCTTACCCTGGGGCCCATTCTCCCTAGGAGTTCTCCCAAGAGGGCCCACAGCTGCCCCCACCCTGGGTCATCTATCTGAGCTGCACTTCCGAACTAGACCGCTTCCTCACCGCACTGAGCTCTGGATGGAAAGCCATCTACCAGGTACTAACTCCCGGGGCCCCAGCTGCTCCCAGGACCCTGGCCTGGCCCCCAGGTCCTGGGACAGAATGTGCCAACAGCTGTGGAACAGGCACAGTAAAACTTAGGGCCAAAGTGGGAAGCCTGTGACGAAAGCTGAAAATAGCACCAGACCTCAGCTCTAAAGAGGGCCTTGAAGCCCCGTCCAGCCAGGGGCAGGGGTTCGTTCACGCTGGAGACGAGGCCTTTGATCACATGTGTTCTGTAGCCCTGGGGAAGCCGTGGACAAGCCTGAGGCAGAGGACAGTCTAGGATAGATACTCTAACCAATAGTGCTGCTCAAAGGGCAAGGCCACTTCCAAGTGGATTTGAGAGCAAGGCCCTTCCAGGAGGGAGGTGGGCAGCCAGCACCTCTCTACCAACTCAGCCTCTCCTCAGAGAACAGGGGGTTCAGCAGCGTGGAAGTTGTGTGGAACTGGTGAGGGGAGGCCTGGCTGGGGGCCATGGCCAAGGCAGAGCCTGGAACCCTACCCCATACTCTACATCTGGATCCTGGAAGTCAGAGCCTGCAACCTTACACTCCCTGCTCACCCCAACACAGGTGGACCTTCCCTACAAAGCGATTCATGAAGCCTCCAGCAAACAGAAGTTTGAAGACGCCCTGAGCCTCATCCACAGTGCCTGGCAGCGGAGTGACAGCCTCTGCCGTGGCAGAGCTTCTCGGGACCCCTGGTGCTGAGACAGCTGGGTGGCATTCCAGGCAGGGCAGGAAGGGGAGGCAGGCTGACCAGCAGGCACACTGTCATGCCATTGTGCTGTTCAGGAGCCAAGCTCCGCAAGCACTCTACAACCCATTCCTGCCCCAGGTGGCAGAACTAGTGTGGCTTGAGACAGAGTCTCTCCACTCCCAGGGATCCAGAGCGGGTGCCCAACCCTCTGTGTGTCCTGCCCAATAGTCAGTGACTAGAGATTGCTGGGGGAAAGGGTCTGAGCCCTGTGGGCTCTGCAGACACACACTGTCCTCCCTGGGCCACCACCTGGGACCTTGCATCTGCTCAGGATGGCAGGAAACATAATACCCATCTAAGGAGGAGGGAAAGAACTGAAAGGATGGGAGAGCTCCCTCTTCCTCTCCTGGGTCAGGGGCCTGGGCAGAGGCTCAGGGCCCCCTGGGGTCCTGAGTGTCCGGCCATCCTTGTTCGTTTTTGAACACTCCCAGCTCAGCTGTGCAGGGAAGCAGGAACACTAGGTGTCTGTGCTTCCCCTCACTAATCCACCCGCACAGTGACCTGCCTTCCTGGAGGCCCTGCATGTCCACAGCCCCGCCTGCTCTCCCCCCAGTCCAGCAGGCCTATCAGGATCAGCTGGTTCCTTTTGCTAGGAACAGAGGGGAAGGGCTGAAAGAGGAGCAGAGCCCACCAGCCTGGTGGCCACACCGACATCTGACTGTCCCCTGCCTGGCTGGAGCCAACCCTTCCTGAGTGCTTTGTCAGAGCCCTCAGGGGAAGGGTCAGGTGGTTTGGGGTTTGTTTTTAAAATAAAGTAGTTATATTGCCAAGACTTGTCACTGGCCCTTTTTGAGCAGTGTGGGGGTAAGGAGGTCTCCAAATCTTCCTTGCATTCTATTTTTTTTGTTGCTTTTTTTTTTCCCCCGTGCTGGGGTCTGAACTTAGGGCCTTGCACTTGCCAGGCAAGCACTCTTCCACTGAGCTAAGTCCCCAGCCCCTCTTCCTTGCATTCTAAAGGCCTCCATCATCTGCTCTGTGCCTGATGCTAAGACACACGGAGCTAAATCAGCCTCAGCTGCTTTCATGATGCCCACCATCTGGAGGCCACAGGCACTGGGGATTCTTGGCCTGACCTTACCTACCCTCCCTCATGCTTCCTGCACTGCCACTAGGAGGATAGGCACTGATGGCAAGTGGTTAGAGCCTCAGAATCATTCCAGTTTATGGCCTTTATTTCTTATCTCTATATTGTCCTATCTCTGTTCCACCAGGGGCCCTAAAGTCTTTGGGTGGAGAGGGATGAGGGGATAGGAGGCATGAACAGTAGGGGTCGTGGGCCACCTTGTCCTGGAAGAAGCTCCATGCTAGGCCCCTCTTAACACATCAGTCTTCCAAAGGCCCTTCTAAAGTGTGGGTCAATAGAAAACTGCTCCGCCATCAGCAGCATCACCACCTCCACAGTTCAGTCACCCGAGGTCAATGGCAGTTCAAAAATATGAAATGGAAAAATGCCAGAAATAAATTTTAAATTGTGTACCATTCTGAGTAGTGTGATGAAATTCTCTGCTCCAGACGTGAATCCTCCCTCTGTCCAGCAGATGTGCTGGATGCACTACCTGTCCATTAGTCACTTGATTAGCACCTTCTCCCTGCCCCCAACTCTCAGCCAGTCCCCACGAAACTTCCCCATTGTATAAATGTGCTTAAACTGCAGAGGGTCTGTCCCAAGATCTGCAGTGGATGAAACCGGTACCAAAGCCTGTATACGCTATGCTCTCTATTCGTTCTTATCATAGGTTTCAGCAAACCCTGCGTGTGATTTTTTTCTTTCCTTATTAAGTAGAGAACTTTTACCTTTCCATTTCAAGGAAGCACTGTACAGCTAATTTGGCATATCCAGATTGTCAGCATCACTTCTCTTGTGCTTTGGGGCTGTTATTAAGTAAAATACAGGTCATTTGAACACAAGCAACAAGTGTGGTACACTACCACAATTGATCTGAAAACCAAATGACAAGCACTACCTGCCCATTAGTCACATTTGTACTTCTCCAGTGACCAATGAAGGACACCGAAAAGCACCCTGGATTCTGGTTGTGGGGATAGCTCAGTAGAGGGTGTGCCTGGCATGCACAAAGCTGAAGGTCAATCACCGACACCACCAAAACAAATTTTCTAAAGCAAAATAGCTTTGCAGGGCTCCAGAGCCCTTCTCTACTCTTGCTTTTGCTGAAAATGGACCGAAGCAGGTGGGAGCTAGATTGGAAGACTGAGGCCTGGAAAGGGAAAGTCACACAGGCTGTAGCAGGAGTAGAGATGGGAGCCAGTTGCTGAGTTTCCCAGGCACCCCATGCCAGAGGCCTCCCAGGACACTTGCCTGAAGCCCCAGGTTCTGAGCTGGAACAGGACTAGAACTAAAGAAAGGACAGGAAGACTAGAGGAGGAGGAGGTGCCCCTCTCTCTGGTTAGCACCTTCTCCCTGCCCCCACTCTCCTTCCAGTCCTCAGTGAACTTTCCCCCAGATCCCAGGGTCCAGGCACGCCCAGGGCAGAGGCAGCTGGGATTGGTCAGAGCTTGGAGGAGGCGTGTCCAGGTTGGGACAGACCCTGGTCAGCAGAGCGGCAAAGCAGAGCAGAGCAGGTAGATTTCCAAGATAGACCAGGAGCCACCCAGAGATGAGCCTGGGCTTCCTCGATCCCCAGCCCTGTGGCCCCGTGGGGATGAAGAAAGCCTAAACACCGACACCCTACGCTTGTGCCATGGCCCTACCCCAGACACCACCAGCCCCAGGCACGGAGGTGGAGGAAACAGTGCCTCCAGCTGCGGATTTGGTGTTGGGAGCCTCAGCCTGCTGCCTGGCTTGTGTGTTCACCAACCCTCTGGAGGTGGTGAAGACGAGGCTGCAGCTGCAGGGGGAGTTGCAGGCCCAGGGTACCTACCCAAGACCCTACCGTGGCTTTGTGGCTTCTGTGGCTGCTGTGGCCCGTGCAGATGGTCTGTGGGGCCTGCAGAAGGGACTCGCTGCCGGCCTTCTCTACCAAGGTCTCATGAACGGTGTCCGCTTCTACTGCTACAGCCTGGCATGCCAAGTTGGCCTCACCCAGAAGCCAGGTGGCACCGTGATTGCAGGTGCTGTGGCTGGGGCACTGGGAGCCTTTGTGGGGAGCCCTGCTTACCTGGTGAGTAACTTGTCTCCATCTTCCTCCACCCTGTAACCCAGCCCCTCAGTGGTTCTGCAGCCACCAGGGCTCCATAGCCCTGGGTGGGGTGAGGCAGCCTGGGTGGGGCTGCTCCCTGGAAATCTCTGGCTCAGGCCTGGAATCTGCCCTTGACCCAGGGTACCAGGACCTGACCCTTCTGCTCTGGGGTCCCTGCCTGCTGGTCCTAGAAGGGCAGCAGGTGTCTGCTGTGTGGCTTGGTGTATGTTAAGAATAAAAGCTGCCACTGAGCAAGGGCCAGGAATCCTGGTGTGGGTACTGCAGTCATCTCACTCAGTCCTTGCTTTAGGAGTGATAGGACTGAGGCCCAGACACAGCTAAGGAACTTGTCCCAAGTCCCAGCAGACTCCAGACCTCAACCTCCATCTGCTGCCAAATGGCCCCCAAGCTTCAGATGTGGGGTTGGGGCCTCTGGGTTTTGGGGACACTGTATGGGGGGTGTGTCTCAACGCACCAGTTTGTCCCCTGGCTCTGTCCCGGACCCTTGGGCCCTCTGTTCTCACAGGTCAAGACACAGCTGCAGGCCCAGACAGTGGCTGCAGTGGCCGTGGGGCACCAGCACCAGCACCAGGTGAGCACCTCACCCTCAGTGTCTGGGGGCTGCTACAACTGGCCAGGCTCCAGGCTGAGCAGAGGCTGGCAGTGAGCTCATATTCTCTTCCCACAGAGCGTCCTGGGGGCCTTGGAGACCATCTGGCGGCAGCAGGGCCTGCTGGGGCTGTGGCAGGGTGTGGGTGGAGCTGTGCCCCGAGTCATGGTGGGCTCAGCCGCCCAGCTGGCCACCTTTGCCTCCGCCAAGACCTGGGTGCAGAAGCAGCAAGTAAGAGGCTGAGGGACACCTGTGCCCACCCACACAGACAAGAGTGGGAGGGTCAACTGCCTTCTTCCACACAGGAAAATTCATGGGTGGTAGCAGGTGGGACCCCTTAAGAAAGCTGGGAGCTCTGGCTCTGTCATTGAAGTTGTGACCCAGTCCTTGGACCCAGCAGGAGTTAAGGGTCAGCAGTGACCCTGAAGCTGTGGTGGGATGGTGGTAGGGAACAGCTGGGAGCCTCATCTGCTCCCCTATCCCCAGCCCTTCCATCCCCCCTGCACTAGGGGGAGAGCACCACATGGGTGGGTAGAGGACAATGACTGGGGTCAGCAGTCTGTGCCATCCCCACAGTGGTTCCCAGAGGACAGCTGGCTGGTGGCCCTAGCTGGGGGCATGATCAGCAGTGTGGCTGTGGTGGCTGTCATGACCCCCTTCGACGTGGTCAGCACACGGCTATACAATCAGCCAGTGGACGGAGCTGGCAGGGTGAGCAGGGGATGGGTTGGGGAGGATGTGGGGAGCTGGGAGTACTCCCAACACATGCACACACGCAGCCAAAGGCACCCGGACATATACCAAACACACAACCTGTTCATTGGACTTGCTGGTTGAGCACCTGAGTCCTAGGCAGATGCATAAGGTTTTATTCTTTTTCCTGATAAGGAAATTGAGGCTGAGAGAGATCAAGTGACTTCCTGAGGAGGTCACCCACCCAGCTGCAAGTAGTGGAGCAGGACTGGAATCATGGATTTCCCTGTGGCATTGCCAGCCTCCCAAATGCTCAAGACAAAGGTGTCCATGTGCCACTAGCCATACTGAGCCCCCTAGCAGGGAGGAATGTCTGTCTGAAGGGAAAGCTCCTACCCCCCACTTTTTTTGGTGGCACTCAGGGCTTTGTGCTTGCTAGGCAGGCTTTCTGCCACTTGAGTCACGTCTCCAGCCCTTTCTGCTCCAGTTATTTTGGAAATGGATCTTGCTTTCTGCCTGGCCTGGCCCAGCAGACCTGGACTGCAATCCTCTTACTGTAAGCTTCCCTCCATCACTGGATGACAGACACACAACACCACACCCAGCTGTTTTGCCCAGGCTGGCCTGGAACCGAAATCCTCCCGATCTTAGCCTCTCGAATAGCTTGGGATGACAGGCATAGGCCCCTGTGCCCAGCTATTGGCTGAGCCTAGCAAGAAGTCCCTTTTCTAATGTCACCTCTTAGAGGGCCACCTTTTGTAACCGTGGGCAAGTGCCTTTTCTGACATGCTAACAGAAGCTCTGAGGCACAGGCACTTCATAATGCCAGCTGGGGCCTCCTGGCCCTCACAGTGACCCCTGCCCCATGTCTGTCCCCAGGGCCGGCTGTACCGGGGCCTCGCTGATTGCCTGGTGAAGATCTGTCAGCAGGAGGGCCCCTTGGCGCTCTACAAAGGTCTGGGCCCTGCTTACCTGCGCCTGGGCCCCCACACCATCCTCAGCATGCTCTTTTGGGATGAGCTCCGGAAACTGGCCAGGCAGGCCCAGCACCAGGGCACTCAGGCCTTGTCCAGCACCACACACACACCCTGACATAGTCTGGCACTTGGTCAGAAGACATGGCCACTTAGAGCAGACTCAGGCCCAGGCCCCTCCACAGCTCTGGAAGAGTGTAGACCACTCCAGTCAACCCAGCCCACTAGGGCCAGAGAAACCACTTTGAGCTGCCACCCCTCTGTCTTCTTCCTTCTCTGCCCTGTGTCACTGTCACCCAGAGCCTTGCTCACTGTCAGGGTCATAGCCGAGTGGCTCACCTGCCTCAGCTGGCTTGGTCCTCCAACAGTATGATGGGCAAAAATCTTTCATCGCAAGGAAGCTGAGTGGTGACTCGGGTCTGGTCAAAGTCACACAGTGGCTTGGAAGTGTGGCTCAAGTGGTCGAATGCTTGTCTATAAAGTGTGAGTGAGGCCCTGAGTTCAAACCCCAGTGTCACAAAAAAAAAAAAAAAAAAAACCACACACACACACACACCCCTTTCAGTTAGCAGAGCCAGGGCTGGAGCTCAGCTATAGCTACCCCGGACCGGTGCTCTTGACAAGAGTGCAACTAGCAGGAGCATGGGACTGGGTGTCCCTTACGGGTCATTGTACACAGGAGGAGACCTAGGGCTGTGCCAGGAGGTGGTGGGGTCGCCATGTTTTGTTTGCTATAGCTGCCCTGACAGAAACTGCAAATCTGAGATCAAGATGTTAGCAGGGCCAATGAGTTTAATTTAATTTATTTTTTTTGTGGTGGAACCAGGGCCTCTGGCATGCTAGGCATGAACTCTACCAGTGACCCACACTCCCAGCCCAGGGCTGACTTCTGAGTCCTCACTCCCTGGCTTGTATGCAGATGGCTGCTTTCTTCCTGTGTCCTCACTTGGTCATCCCTCTGTGTATGTCACTAACCTAATCTCCTCTTATAAGGACACCAGCCATGTTGCATGAGGACCCACCCCAGGGACCTCATCTTACTTACCTTCCACAGGTCATTCCCCCATATCCATATATAGTCACACCCTGATGTACTGGAAGCAGGACTTCAAATGGATTTGGGGGGACACAATTCAGCTTAGACGTCATATAAGGGCTTTTATCAAGGGCCTCCCATTTGCACACATCCTGGTGATTCTGACAGGCAGCTCAGTGATACCTGTTGCTCAGACGAAGAGACAGAGGCCCAGGATAGGGCAGCCTGACCCAGTGAGTAGGGCAGATGGGCCGAGTTTGGTAGGGCAACGGCAGATCCTCGGCTCTTTCTCCACAATGCAGCCACACTCCACCACGTCTGGACACCAATTCCCTGGCAGGGCAAGGCCAGCCGGGGCCAGGCAGCCCTCGCCACAACACCTTCCCAGCTATACCCCAAGGGTGAAGAGCTGCTCCTTGGAAACAGCTCCTGGGCACACTCCAAATCAATAAAGTTTTCCATTTTGTTTATTTCCGTGACTCCCTCTACCTCAGCTGCCCCACCCCAGCAACCACACCTGGGGCTTGGCTCTTTCTGGGAAGGAAGGTGGGAGGGAGAATGGCAAAGGTTTCCAGTCACCAGCTCCTCCCACCTGGCCAAGTGAGGCCTGCCACCTAGTGGGCACAGGAGGAGGCCACAGCCCCAAGGCAGGTGATCAACCTTCAGGCTGCAGGAGATTCCAGACCCGCCACTGCCTAAAAGGGCTGAGGCTTGGGAAAGCTGCACTGTCAGACATTGCAGAGCAGCGGGGCAGAGCCTGACCCCAGGCAGGGGGAGACCCCAGACCTCAGGCTGAGAGGACGGAGCCTGACCTCAGGCTGTGGGGAGCCCCTCTACCTTGGGATCTCAGGAGGAGAGTACAGACCTGCTCGTCAGGCTGAGAGAGGGGAGGAACCTGACTTGAGGCAAGACAGGTGGACAGATGGAGCTGGGCTTCAGAAAGTCATTGTGTGGTCACCCCTGAGAAGGGTGAGACGGGTGGACACAAGACTTCAGCAGGGCAGAGACCCAGATCAGCCCCCAACACCCCTTCGCCACGCTGCCCACATGGAGAGGACCGGGCAGTACCCTGGGCCCTGAAGTATGGCCTTGCCTTTCCACACCCCTTACCAGTCAAGGCCTTTGTCTCCCCCGGCTCCTTCCCCCTGGCCTTTAACCCTCCTGGCCCTCCCCTGCCCCTACTGACACCTTTGTCCGATGATGTCACTGGGTCTGACCCTGCGCAGACCTAGCTGGCGGCTGGGGCTGGATCCTGGCTGCCATGTTGTCCCTGCTGTCCCTCCCCTCCTGGATCCCAAGCCTTCTCTCTCTGGAGTGGGGCTCCAGCCTCCTCGACAGCCTCCTGCAAGGTGAGCGCCTCCCCCATTCCCACCTGGATCCCGCTCCTCCTCGAATGGGCCGGGTGCAAGGCGGGCCCCACCCCCGCGGCCTGGTCACCTGGCCGCCCCCAGCGCTCCGCCTCCAGGGACACCTGTGGTCCTAACGCCCCTGCACCGCGGCCTCCCTCTCCCGCCTCCCAGGCCTGGTGGCGGCCTTTGGAGTCTCGGTTCTGAGCAGCCTCCTGAAAGTGTACTTCTTCGTGGGCTGTGCCAAGTGAGTGCCCATGGGGCCCCTCATCCCTCCCCAGGCCCCCGGCCCCTGCACCGACCCTGGCCTCTCTGGGGGAGGGCTGAGGGGGACCACCCCTCTCCCGGGATGGTGCCTGGGGCTGGGGATTCCCTGGGTGGCTCTGCTCCTCTGCCCACGCCCACCCTGCCCCCACAGTGACCCCCAGCGGCGACATGAGAAGGAGCGACTGGGGGCCCAGTGGGCCTCCCTTCAGATGGTGCACCTGGTGGGACTCGCCCTGCTCCTGACAGTGGTGCCAGCCCGGGTGGCCGCCCTCGTGGTGCTGGAGTTCTCCCTCAGGGCTGTGTCCACACTGCTGGCTCTGAGCAAGGTTAGAGTGCAGAGAGGGAGTGGGGTCAGTCCAGCCAAGGCCCTGTTGGACCTGCCCTTCCCCCGCCCCCACTGAGACTAGAGGCTGCAGTCTGCTCCCTTGGGTTCTCACTGCCAAAGTCCCAAGAAAATGAAGATGGCTCTGTATACTGAGCTCCCCAAATGCCAGGCCCCGACCTCATCTCACTCAGTCCTCACAGGGCTAGGGCCTGCTGTGATCCCCTGTTCACAGATAAACAGCCAGTGAAGGTGGAGTCAGCGTCTTTCTTGTTTGTTTGCTTTTGTTTTGTTTATTTTGAGACAGGGTTTCACCATGTAGCCCAGGCTGGCCTTGAACTCCCAATTCCAGCCTTTCAAGTGCTGGGACTACAGGAATGCGGTGACACCCGGCTTGGAGTTTGGTGTGAATCCAGGCCTTCCAAGTTTTGAACCACCACCCTCTAGCTATTGGATGGGTGAAAGAAACCATCCCAGTACTGCTCAACTGAAGTCAAGGCTCCCTCTTTGGAAGGATCCCCAAGGTTCCATAGGGCCCCAGCCTCCCACAGTGGAGCCTGTGTGACATGACATTCCCTACCCGGCCACTTGTCCTGCAGGGCCCGGGGGACACAGAGCGACTGCAGCTCTACTTGCTGAGCCAGTACTCGCTGGGCTGTGGACTGAGCTGTGGGCTGAGCTTCCTGCAGGAGGGCGCCCCGCACCGCACACTGAACCTGCTGCTGAGCCTGGGGCTGGCCGCACTGCTGGGCTCCGGCGCCCAGCGTCTGCGCCACCATGTCTGCTGCTTCTATGAGCTGCACAGCAGCCAAAACTACTGTGGGGTCTGCCTGGGCCTGCTGGCCGGTGCTCATGGCCTCCCCAGGCTGCTGGGCCGTGCCCTGGCTGTGGCCTTTGTTGTAGGCGACCTGGCAGCTGTGGCCCTCATCAACCGGGACTTCCTGAGCACCTCGGAGGCCATGCGTTTCTGGACGCCGCTCACCATCTGCTACACGCTGCTGGTCATTTACATGCAGGGTGAGGCCTTTGGGAAAGACTGGGTCCCCTTTTATTGGCATCCTGTCCAGGGAAAAACACCAAGAGCACAGGAGCCCTGAGGAATTGTCACCTGGATTGGTCTTGAAAGCTGGACAAGAGTCCCTGAGTGAGGCATAGGGAAGGGGACTGTGGCAGAGAGAACCACAGGTGCCACAACCCAGAATAAGAGGTGTGACAGCATCAAACAGACGTCCACTGAGGCTGTCACCCTAAGAGCACAGGGAAGGGATGAGGCTGGCTGGGTTCGTAAGGCCTGATCGAGAGCCCTGGGCAGCCAGGTTGGGCAGTGTGACGAGAGACCATTGCAGGGTCCAAGCAGGGAAAGTGATCTGGCCTCTGGGAACAGCCACCTGGCTGCAGTGTGGAGATGGCGTGGGAGCAGCAGGGCGAGGGAGGGAGGTCCAAGCAGGAAGAACAGCAAGTGCAAAGGCCTTGAGGTGGGAATAAGCTTGGTGTGGCTGATGAGCAAAAAGGAGTCAGAGACAGGTCAGGTTGGGGAGTGGGTTCAGGCCAAATCAAGCAGGACCTTGTAAGGCAAGGTAGGGCTTTGGATTTTATTTCAAATGCAGTAAGAAGTCCTGGGAAGGTTGTTAGCAGAGGAACTTCATCTAGTTGACATGTTTGTTTAGAAGGTCACTTCGCTGATTAGTAGAGACGAGGTTATAAGGTAAAGGACAGAAGGGCTGAGAGCGTGATTCAAGCAGTAGAGTGCCTGCTGACCAAGTGTGAGGGCCTGAATTTAAACTCTAGTTCTGCCAAAAAAAAAAAAAAAAAAAAAGAGAGAGAGAAGAAGAACAGAAGCTAGCCAGGTGTGGTGGGGCACATCTATAATCCCAGCATTAGAAGGTAGCGGAAGTTAGGAAGATCTCGAGTTTGAGGCCAGCCTGGGCAAAGGTAGTGAGACCCAGTCTCAAAAAGAAAAAGAAAAACAAGCTGGGTGCTGGTAGCTCACACCTGTAATCCTAGCTACTCAGGAGGCAGAGATCAGGAGGATTGTGGGAAGCCAGCCCAGGCAAATAGTTCTTGAGATCCTTGAAAAAACCCATCACAAAAATAGGGGTGGTGTAGTGGCTCAAGGTGAAAGCCCTGAGTTCAAACTCCAGTACTGCAAAAAAAAAAAAAAAAAAAAAGCCCACAAAAGCTAGGAACCCTGTGAGGGGGCTTTTCTGAGAGAGGAAAGTGACTGGGACCAGGGTGGGGCAGTGGGAGTGTGTGTGCAGGGAAAGAGAAGACTAAGGTCAACACTGCCACCAAGAGGCCCACCAGGCTCTGTCTTCACCCAGTGGGAAACTTTTGGGGTGGGCAGTGAGTCCTGGGAGTCAGGGCCACCTAGCACCCCGTGGGTCCTTAGAGAGGAGGTGGGGGTGAAGGAGGGCAGTCAGGGAAGCAAAGTCTGGCATTGGGAGCCGGACAGGGAGCTGAGATGTCCAGGTACTGGGCCAGCACTGACAGCACACATCCTGTCCTGTCGCATAGAGGAGCAGAGGCAGCAGCAGCACTTCAGCCTGCAGAGCCAGGTGCAGACGGTGCTGGTGCGCATGGGTGGCCTCTTTGTGCTGTTGCTGACTGTGGGCCGCTGGTTGGACCTCCTTGGCATCCTCATCTCTTTGCTGGGAGAGCTCTGGTGCCTGGTGGGCGTCCGCACCCTGCTTGACCTTTGTCAGATACAGGTGAGCACCTCCCATGCACCCCTAGGACCCATGTTCCCTCCAAACAGCTCCAGAGACCCAAGTTTGATGAGCACCAGGGCCACCTCCCTTGGGGTGAGGCAGAGCGAGCTAGAATTCACTTCCTTCCTCCATAGCCAGAGGGTCCTCTGGGTCACTGAGAGGGAATGGGGAGGTTAGGGCAGCACCCCATCCCGCCTGCATCCCAGAGGCCTGAGTAGGAGGAAGGTCCCAGATGTGGAGGTTACTGAGCCTAATTGGAGACTGGGAAGTGTGTAGCATCCCTCAACCCTTTCCTTTCCACCCTTCTGCAGGGATTTCCATCCCGGAGGCCTGGGACAAGGGCAGTTCCACGCCAGCCTCTGTCCTCATCCCAGGGGACAGCCCCGTCCTGACTTGCCCCAGGGTGGACTTGAGTCATCCCAGGCCCACAGAGGCTGACCTGCCAGGACTTGACCTCAGGATGCTGCCTGGAGACCAAGTGGAAGGGCTGGTCTCCATGTGAGACCAGGGACAGGCCCTGGGGGCAGGAGGAAGGGAAGGCTGGGGCTGGGAACCTCAGAGGGTGGGGTACCTGGAAGGGCCCCAGGTTAATCCCTCTTTTCTCGGGGTGGGCAGTGGATGCAGCCTCCTCAGAGCTGCCTTTCCAGGAGGGCTATGGAGATGGAGGGACAACTTTGTTCTCAGAATGGCTTCCCCTCACCCTTCCACAAACAATAAAGAATCCCAAAAACAGAGAGGGAGAAGGGCTTTGTGAGGTGGGGTGCTGGGATGTCTCAGGGCTGGCCCTGGCTGGGTCCCCTGGGAACAGGGTTCCTTGCACAGAGGAGGCTAGGGTGGGCAGGAGTGTGGTACTGAGATGCCAAGGAATGGGATGAGCTCATGCCCTTACACTCGCCTGCAGTCTAAGGCGGACTGTGTCCACGTCCTGTCTCATCCCAGGCTGAGGGAGAGCTGGAGGGAGCCCGGGGTGCTCTTGTGTCCCTTACTGGTCTAAAACCATGAGGATCCTTCCTGTCTCCACCCTGTTCAAGACCAAGATTAGGGAGACCAAAGAGTTGGGTACTAGCTCCTCTGTCTACCTTCTGTGTGACCTCAGGCAAGACACTGCCCCTCTCTGAGCCTGTCAGAACTGCTTCCAAGTGTTGGGTGCATACTGTATGCTGGACACTTTTTTTTATTATCCCATTTCACCTTGCCATCAGGCCCATGAGGCAGGCACTATTAACCCTTCTTACAGATTCAGAAACTGAGGCTTGCTCAGAGACCTTAATTACCTTGCTAGAAGGCACACAGACAGTAAGTGCCAGGATTTGAATGCAGGTAGCCTGACCTCCGGAGCTCAGGTGCTTTGTGTGCTTCCTGCTCCCCTCTTCTACTCAAAGACTGGGGGCTGGGCAAGAGAAACACGCAACGCAGGTCCATCCCAGGTAGGTCCTGGGATGTGATTTCGGCCTTTTATTGCAGGCAGCCTGGGACTCTGCAACAGGCCTGTTCTCCTGACCCAAGCATCCAGCCTCTGGGCATTTTGGTTCCATGGGGACCGAGGACCCCAATTCAGGCAGGACCTTTCCAAGAGAGGCCCCATAGGGCAGAGACACCTCCCTGCCAACCTGCCTCTCTGGGGCTGGAGAGTCAAGGTCGTCCAGACTGCAGGGAGGAGGTGCGGCCTGCATACTGGGGACCAGGCTCTAAGGTATTCCTCCTCTCCACAAAGCCTGCCATAGCCACTGCTCTGCTCTGGGAGCAGTCAGGGACAAAACTTGGGTTTGCCACTCCCCCACCCTGCACAGCAGTCCTGGATCAGGGGAAGGTGGACCCAAGGCTGGTTTCAGCTCCTTCCCCCAGGAAGGGCCGCCCATAGGACCAGCCTTGCCCAGGGTGCAATTGCCGAGCTGTGGAAACCCTTCCTCAGGACAGAACCCGCACCCGGCCTGGGCATGAGCTCACTTCCCTCGGGACAGGCAATGTGTCCTGTCTGGAGGAAATGGCTCAGTTGGGTGGGCACAAGGCCAGCCCCTGCCAGCCCCAGGCGGGGCTCTGGGTTCCAACCAGGGCCTATTGTTTTTGCTGGAAGGTGCCCCAGCTTCTCAGCCCCTGGCACAGCCCAGGACCCATTGAGGACAGGCTGCGAGTGACAGGACTCAACTGTTCTTTCCTTTTTATGGGCATAAAGACAGTTTTCCCAACAAAAATAGGGGCACTTAGGCTAGAATGAGATTATTTTTTATCAAATTATTTTTATGAGAATTAGTTCATGTCTGACAAGGGTATAAAAATTAGGTCACTCTGGGCTGGAGGTGCAGCTCAGTTGTAGAGCCTGGGTTCTGCCAAATGAAGAAAAACCGGCTTTAGGGCCAGAAGGCACAGTGCAGCCTGAGACTCAGGATAGCTTTTTTTTTTTTTTGTGCTAGGTAGTCACTCTACCACTTGAGCTACTCCACCCACCAGCTCTTTTCTTTTGTGATGAATTTTTTCAAGATAGGGTCTCAAGAACTATTTGTGTGGGGCTGGTTTTGACCATTGATCCTCCTGATTGCTGCCTCCTAGCTAGGATTACAGATTTGAGCCACTGGTGGCGCCCAGCTTTTTTTTTTTTTTTAAATAGCAGTGGGAATAGAATCCAGGGCCTCCTGCTACCACTTGAGCTCCTTTGGGAGTCCTTTGGGGTTTTTGGTATTTTTTTCTTTTTTGGTGGTACTAGGGTTTGAATTTAGGCCTTCACAAGCTTGAACTACGCCTCCAGCCCTTTTGCTCTGGTTACTTTAGAGATAAGGTCTCACTTTTTGCCTGTGCTAGCTTTGAACTTTGGTCCTCAGCTCTCAGCCTCCTAAGTAGGTAGGACTATAGGCTTCAGCCACTGATGCCTAGCCCTTTCATGACTCTGTATTTTGTTTTTGAGATAGGGTCTTGATAATTTTGCTTAGGCTGGCCTTGAACTCAAGATTTTCCTGCCTCTGTCTCCTGAGTATCTGGGATTACAGGCATGTATTATCACACCTGACTTTCAGACTAATTCTTTCACAGAGATCATTAGAACAGAAATCCAGAGCTCCAGGTGCAAGGTCCTGGAGTTGGAACTTCATCTTACAGAGGTGGAAGGCTCGGGGTGTGGCTTGGTGGTAGAGGGCTTACCTAGCAGGCATTAGGCCCTCGGTTTGATGAGCGCTGCAAACAATAAAATGAAGCAATGGGAGACCAGGGTCCCAGTCCCTGCTTACAACAGGTGGTGACCCCGGGGCAGCTGGGACTAGGTCGAGCCTGGCTCCCTCTCCTGCCCCCTCCCTGGCTTTTCTGAGCTATGGTATTGCCCTGCTGGGTGTACTGCATCCCTTTCCCTGAATGATTTATTTATTTATTTATTTATTTATATTGTTTTATTATTCACATGTGCATACAAGGCTTGGGTCATTTTTTCCCCCTGCCCCCACCCCCTCCCTTACCACCCACTCCGCCCCCTCCCTCTCCCCCCCACCCCCTCCATACAAGGCAGAAACTATTTTGCCTTATCTCTAATTTTGTTGTAGAGAAAGTATAAGCAATAATAGGAAGGAACAAGGGTTTTTGCTGGTTGAGATAAGGATAGCTATACAGGGAGTTGACTCGCATTAATTTCCTGTGCGTGGGTGTTACCTTCTAGGTTAATTCTTTTTGATCTAACCTTTTCTCTAGTACCTGTTCCCCTTTTCCTATTGGCCTCAGTTGCTTTAAGGTATCTGCTTTAGTTTCTCTGCATTAAGGGCAACAAATGCTAGCTAGTTTTTTAGGTGTCTTACCTATCCTCACCCCTCCCTTGTGTGCTCTCGCTTTTATCATGTGCTCAAAGTCCAATCCCCTTGTTGTGTTTGCCCTTTCCCTGAATGTTAAGCCAGAAGTCAGCACCGTATATCTGCTAGAGCCAAGCACCTTGCAGGCTTGGAGGACAATGAGATGAATCTTGTGCACAGCACTGGCCTGGAGAGATCACCCTCCAGGGAGAGTGACATCGAATGGCTACTAGTGCTGCTGAGCCAAGTGAAGCTGGGCAAAGGGCTAGAAGGCTAGGAAAAGGCTATTTGTTATCTCTGGCTGCATAACAAATACTACCCCTCCCCAGCAGTCAAACCACAGGCCTTTATCACCTCGCTTTCTCTGTGGGTCAGGAATACTAGTGCTGCTCAGCTGTCCTCTGGCTTAGGGTCTCTCATGGGCTATAGTCAAGTGTTTAGCCAGGATAGGGGCGTCCTCCACTTTTTACCATGTGGGCTCCTCATAGGACAGCTCATAGCAAGGCAGCTGGGTTCCCTCAGAGAGCAAGGGACAGAGAGCAAGACATGATACACTTTGGACACTGTGTTACCAGTATCCAAACTGACATCCTGTTATTTTTGCCACATTGTACTATAAGCAAATCACTAGGAGGGTCTTAGTAAGAGGGTGAATCTCAGAAGGTGGGGATCCTGGGGGACAGTTAGAAGCTGCCTTCCACAGAGGATTTCTTTAAGGAGAGGGACGTTTGAGCAGAGAGCTGCATGTCCTAAGGCAGTGAGGGCAAGAAGCCAAGGCAAGAACATCCCAGTCCTAGAGAACAGCATGTGCAAAGGCCCTGAGGCAGGAGAGTCCAGGTATGTTTGAGGAGCCTCACAGAAGAGGGCAGCCGCAGAGCAGGGCAGCGCTGACCACTAAGGGTGATGGTGAGGGTTGGGTAGAAACCAATGGGTGGTTTAGCACAAGAAAACAACAAAATCCGATGTGTACATTTACAGGATTAATCTCATTGCTGTTTTTATTTATTATTGTATTTATTTATTTATTTTGGCAGCACTAGGGTTTGACATCAGGGCCTCTTACTGCTTGAGCCATTCTACCAGTCCTTTTTTGTGATGGGTTTTTTCTAGATAGGGTCTCACAAACTATTTGCCTGGGGCTGGCTTCAAGCCTTGATCCTCTTGATCTCTGCCTCCTTTCTAGCTAGGATTACAGGTGTGAGCCACTGGCGCCAGACTCACTGATGCTTCTAGAAAAGATGGTTAGAAACGGACAAACGAGTTTGGAGTAGCCCAGGTGAGAGGATGGCTCCTAACCTAAGTGGGCAGACTGAAGCCAGAGAGTCTGGAGTAGTCCGAGGTGCTGAGAAAGCATTGGCATGTTTGGAGCAGAGGGGCCAAGGGCACATTGGCTGTAGCTGGATCACACAGGGCCTGGTAAAGGGCTTGGTGTCCCCCCAAGAGCAGCTGGAGCTACAGAGAGCTGTACACAGGGCAAAAAATGTCAGGTGCCACTTAGGGAGAGAATCTGGCTGGAGAGTGGATTGTTGAGAAAAGCAGGGGTCAGAAAGGGTCAAGTGTCAAGAGCCCTTGGGAAAAAGAACAGGGCGTTCTCGTGAGAGTAGACCCTTACTTGGAAGGCAGCTGTGCTCACCACCATATTACCAACGCCTCCTGGACCCTTACTTGGAAAGAGAAAGGAAAGTACAATTAGTTGCTGGAGTCACAGAGGTTTAGGTCCATTCTCCTGACTCTTTTGGGGCACTTTGCCCCAAAATGCCTAATAGAAGCTGGCTTCCTTTGCTGCCTATAACACTCTGTAACTCCCAGCAACCCCAGCTCTCCCAGGGCCCTCCCAGATTCTCACTGTGTGCTCTTCCCAGTGAGCTGGCCTCGGCTTAGAGAGAGCTGGGAGGCCAGCAGGGCCCCACAGGTTGGAGTCCTCTTTGTGCTGTAGGAAGGAGGAGTA